TCAAATCAAAGTTTTTAAGGTCTAATTTGCCGATTCGTGAGGTAGGGCGAAGTGGGGAGAGAAAAAACCCGAGAGGGAGGAGAAAGAAGCGAAAAAAGGCTTGGGCAGGAAGGTTGGGGCCGGGGTTAAAACACCATCTCGGCGCCAAGATCTACGGCGTCGAGCTCGGCGTCAGGATCTACGGCGTTAAGCTTGGCGCCGAGCTGCCTGCCAAGTCACCGTCACGTCTGCGTCGAGCCCAAGACCTCGGCGCGACCAACGATAGTTCCGAGCAGTGTAAGCTCGGCGCCAGCAACGATGACGCCGAGTTAAGGGTGCATATTTTGAAATTCTATCTTCAGGAAACGTATTTGTGAAAAAATTTAAAAAAAGGCTAAAAAATAAAAAATTCGGACGTGCTGAAGGCGATCCGGCGAGAGTTTTCTACCGCTACGGCACCCACCCGGCGGCTGTCCTGCTCCCGTCCTCTCCTCCCTCAGGCGCGCGTCGGCCGTACGGCGTGGTGACGGCGAGGCGGACCGGAGGCGGCCGTACGCGCGCGGCCTTGCGAGGGCGGGTGACGGCGACGGGGAGGCAGCCCCGTCCGCCCGTCCGTCCGTATTCTCCACCGTGTGTTGGTGTGTCAGTGTGTGGCGCTGGCGCGTACCACTGCCAATGGAGAGGACGACGTCAGGCCAATGGATGGGTTTCGTCATTTATTTATGCCTTGCTGTGTTGGGTTGGGTTCCTTTCCTGCGGTACTGTCCGGTCCGGTGGCGTGTGGGGAGGGGGAGCCCTGGAAATGAATCGGAACAACGAAGCGAATCATAATGCAATCAGTCGTAGACGTCCTTGGGTCTTTGGAACGCTGGGCTGAATTTGGTCGGAAAACACTGTTCGATAGAATTGTTGTGAGAGAAAAATATTATTTTGGTTGAAAAAAGAAACCGAACAAGCCGGCTTTTCTGACCAGCCGAACCGCACATTGACAAGAAAATTATTGAGCCTCCATCCATCCCCATGCATGCACCAACGCTCGCGTGTAGCGTCGTCGTCGTCACTACTTGCAAATCCGTCACGCCCCATGCATATTGCATGGCCGTGCGAGCTCGATTGTTGATGAACGAGAGACAACCAATCGCGAACGAATATATTGTCCTAAATCAATTCAATTAAAAATAGCTTGACGATTTTCATTCTTTCGTCATGTAAAAGAAGACTGCACACATCAGAGTGAGATATGATTCGTGATAAATACATCCATCCACCAAGCACTCGGCCAAATGAATTCAACGATATGCACAGGATGTGAGAGCAAGAACATTTAAGAGGGGCTATGAATTGGGAGTAAATGGAAACAAGAAATAGCTATTCAATGTAGAGTATCTTCCTCACCAGCAACGACTCCTCCGTTTTTTTTTCTTCCCGTCCCGTCCCCATGGCCTCGCTAGCTCTCCCAGTCTCCCTGCATGCTGCCCTCTCCTCAGAAGTTTTTAATACTCCTACTACATGCAGCGTGGCATCATGTACATGAAGAAGATTGTGTATGAAGGGCCTTGAAGAAAAAGACTGCAGGCTACTGATGAACTGCCAGCATAAAAAAGGGAACCAGCACTAGTTTTGTTCTCGTTTCACCGGCTGATAAGTCGGCTAAAGCATGTTTGGTTGTGAGAGAAAAATACTATAGATTCTACCTGATAAGCCGACTGATAACTTCAAGCGAACAGGCCCACAATCGACATCACTAGTACCACCAGTAGTAATATGTGTGACACTTGCCAACGAGCACTGTTAATAAATTTGGAATCTATTTAAAAACTCTTAAAAATAATCAGAGGGGCCGAGGAGTATTAAACCCCACACTAATAATAGTATTATGCTTTATAGGACGTCCCTCTTTTCTGGTAAAAATGAGTTTTCTCCCACCTGCCTCCAGCAGAACAATTAAGGGACGACGGAACTTGATGCATTTCCGGCTTCCATCTATCAATTCATGAACACCTCCGGAAATGAAAACTTGAAAAGGACATTCAAATGAAAACTTGAAGGGCATTCAAACACTTGAACACCTGCCGCACACGTATCATATCAATGCATGCATATGATTACTCCGATCCTTTTTATTTTGAATCAAAACCAGTGGAGCTTGTCATGCCGTACGTGTGTATATTTATGCATTCCCGTTCAAAGTCAATGCACATCACATCGGTCTTCACCTCCGATGCTTCAGTGTCACTCCCTCCTAGCTAGTAGGGGGTCATAAAAGAGGCTGATTCTACTACTGCTGGATTACCACTGGGAAGCGTCGTCAAAATCCGGCACGCCTCCCCATGGGGAGCAAAGCGAGAAGCAAGTGCCTCTGGCTTAGGAAACATACTCCCAAGAAAGATGGTCAAGCGACGAACTCGTTTAAACTCATTTGTTTGAGCGCATCGAGATTTCAGAATCTTAGGGTTGGAACGAAGCACCTGATGAATTCTGCATGCATGCGTGCGTGGGTTGGTGTCTGGCCTGGCTTTGTGACGAACTGCATGCTCTGCCATGCACGCGTGCAGTGATAGGAGTATCGTGCGCCAAATGGGGGCGTGAGGCCATGGAAGTGCCAACATGCCGGTTTGCATGCATGGGTCTGCCGCTGCACTTGTATGGGAATGGGATGAAATCGGTGGATGGATCCAAAGCCCAGCCGGCCGGCCAGCCCAACCCCGTAGAAGGAAGTCTTGAGTTCGGTCTTTTGGTTTTCGATCCCGATACGATTATCGCATTTGGGAATCCCACCAACGATTTAATGCCGGTTCGTCTCTTTCCAGGGTTGCGTTGTTTGCGTTGCATGCAGCGCAGAGCCGGATCTGGGCGGGGCGGAATCCGGCTCCGGCCCGTTTGTGATCGCCCAACAAGGCAAGGTGCGGGAAATGGAAGCGGGGCTGCTTGATGTTTTTTTTATTTGCCATTAAAGATCTGCTAGAATAAATAGTAATTTCAAATGATCCAGGTGAAAGAAAATCATGGATCTCACTAGGATTTGGATATCGGCCAGTTAGCAATTGAAAACAACAATAAATTTACTTAGTCCCTGTTTAGATCCCACCCAAAATCCAAAATTTTCTAAGATTCTCCGTCACATCGAATCTTGCGGCACATGCATGGAGCATTAAATGTAGGTAAAAAAAATAACTAATTGCATAGTTTGTCCGTAATTGACGAGACGAATCTTTTAAGCCTAAATAGTCCATAATTGGACAATTTTTGCCAAATACAAACGAAAGTGCTACAGTGTCCATTTTCCAAACTGGAAGTGATCTAAACAGGCCCTTACTGAAAGTTCAAATTAGTAAATTATTAATTATGGCAGTGGGTATGTAATTCCTGTTGTCAGGGTGTCTTGGATTTCATTTTGATTCCAGGTGTCCTGCAAAAAAAAATTCTGCAGACTACTTCTGGTGAGTGGTGACACAGGACCCTGGAATTGCACGTCAGCACTAGTATATCATCATCATATAGGAGTACTCCGGTATCTGAAAGCAACTCAGCTGACAGCTGAGGTTGGGCACAGCCTAAAGAGCCGTAGGCCGTAGCCAGCACAAAAATACCACTCCTACCAGAACTGTGGAGCACCATACGCAAACAGTAGAAGCGGGCTGGAATCGTACTTGCCTGCTTGCGGGTGTGGCAGGAAAAGTCAACAGGCCCGACCCGTTTGGGCCTTAAATGGCTCCAGCTGTTCCCACCCAAACCCAAGAAAGCAGCAGTAGGCCCGGCCTCGAACCGAGATGGTGGGGCCCTTTTAAATACTCCTCCGGCTCTTAATTCGCATCGGTTATTACTCCGCCCCGCCTACCGCTCCTCCCTCGTCGGGAACGAGATCGTCTAACTTTACCTCGAATGACTGCGCTGTGCAGTCATGACATCGTAGACGTCGGCTCACGTTCCGACGCGCGTTGGCCGTATAAAAGCGCAGCGCAGCAACGCAAAATCAAGTCGCCCGCTATCCGTGGTTGCCCAAAACAGGGAGCGATATTTTTCTTTTTGGCGCGAAAGCATTCTCCTTTCTTGGCTGCGGTCGGTTGTGAGCCATCGGGCGGCGGCGGTGAGGCTTCGGTGGCCATCGGAAAAACAACATGTTTGCAGTCGCATTCATCTCTTTTTATAGAGTTAGAATTACGTTAATCACGGCTAAGCATCCTTTGTAATTTATTTGCCTTCCAAAACTTTTTATCTTAAAGATTAAAGAAACATCATCTTCGTACATCAGAGAATAGAATCAGGGTATACGAGATGTATGCAAACGCAAAAAAAAAAACTAGCGCCCTCTTGGCTGGTCTGTTGTTCGAAAAAAATACTGTTCGCTAAGTCATGGTTTATAAGTTAGAGTACGTTAATAGGCTAAGATCCTATTTAGTTCCTAAAAATTTTCATCTTAAAGTGTCACATCAAATCTTACGACGGAGTACTAAATGTAGACGAAAAAAAAACTAATTACACAGTTGGGTGAAAAATTGTGAAACGAAACTTTCGAACCGAATTAGTCCATAATTAGACACTAATTACTAAATACAAACGAAAGTGCTACAGTAGAAAAAAAAATCTCCAACTAAACGCGCCCTAAGGTCTCCGGTCATACCCTGCTTGCTGCTGCCCGGCCTGTCTTAATGGCGCCAGCTCAGGAGGAACAAGCGGAGGCCTGATCGATAAAACTGCACCACTTCTCTTCATTTCTCTCTTTTCTTCTTCCTGGCGAGAGAGCGCCTCCCTTCGTTCCCCTCCTGAGCTGAGTGTGCTGCTTCGTCAGGACCAGCGAGATTACTGCTGCGTACCTCCGCTACCACCACCACTGCTACTTCCTGCGTAGCAGCGAGGCTATATAGCGCCTCGGAGGAGGAGCTAGCTATAGCTTAAACCTCGTGGTACTAGTACAGCCGCCCGCTACCGCCGCTAGCCCACTAGCTTGCCAGCCCTCCCGGCCCAGATTGCGCTCGAAGCAAGCGGCCGCCCGAGGCGAGGCGAGGCGTGCGCGCGCCGCGATGGACTTCGGCGACGACGTCATGGAAGGCGGCTCCGACGCCCAGCGCCGCAAGAAGAGATACCACCGCCACACCCCGCGCCAGATTCAGCAGCTCGAGGGGTACGTGCACCCTTCCTTATCTACTGGTTGATTAGCCTGTATCTGTTCGTTTTGGATGCTTTGCTCAAATGGCGGCGGCGTTTGTCTGTGCCTGTGCGCGCGCGCAGGATGTTCAAGGAGTGCCCGCACCCGGACGAGAACCAGCGGATGCAGCTGAGCAGGGAGCTGGGGCTGGAGCCCCGGCAGATCAAGTTCTGGTTCCAGAACCGCCGGACGCAGATGAAGGTATAGTAGACTTGCCATTGTTATTACCTTCTCTCCGTCCCTTGCTGGGACGTTTATTCATCTCTGTTGGTGTTTGTCCTCTATTTGATTCGCGCTCCTGTTTGAGACGACGGCCATTAATTTCGGTATGTTTGGCCGCTGGATGGGGGCGTACTGCAGGCACAGCACGAGCGGCAGGACAACTGCTTCCTGCGCGCGGAGAACGACAAGATCCGGTGCGAGAACATCGCCATGCGGGAGGCGCTCCGGAACGTCATCTGCCCCACCTGCGGCGGCCCGCCCGTCACCGACGACTACTTCGACGAGCAGAAGCTGCGCATGGACAACGCGCGGCTCAAGGAAGAGGCAAGCCGCTTCGCATTCTCCAGCCATTGCGCCCCTTCCCCATTTTTTTTATCGTGCTCTCGTTTTCACACGGCGACGACGTGGCACGCGCGTTTCATGTGATGTGCAGCTTGACCGGGTGTCCAGCCTGACGTCCAAGTACCTGGGGCGGCCCATCACGCAGCTGCCGCCGGTGCAGCCGCTGTCCATGTCGTCGTCGCTGGACCTGTCCGTCGGCGGGCTCGGCAGCCCGGCGCTGGGCCCGTCGCTGGACCTCGACCTCCTCAGCGGCGGCTCCTCGGGGTACCCTCCGATCCACCTCCAGATGACGGTGTCGGAGATGGAGCGCCCCATGATGGCCGAGATGGCGACGCGCGCCATGGACGAGCTCATCAGGATGGCGCAGGCCGGCGCGCACCTGTGGGTCAAGAAGGCGGGCGGCGGCCCCGACGGGCACGAGGTGCTCAACGTCGACACGTACGACAGCATCTTCGCCAAGCCCGAAGGCTCGTTCCGAGGCCCCGACGTGCACGTCGAGGGCTCCCGCGACTCGGGCCTCGTCTTCATGAGCGCCGTCGGCCTCGTCGACATGTTCATGGACTCGGTAAGTTCATTTTCTGCTCCGGAGGACATGTCTATTATCTAGCAATATTACGGTTCGCACCTACCACGTCGTAAGCGTGACGTGCACGGTTGTCATTGTTCTCGCAGAGCAAGTGGATGGAGTTCTTCCCTGCCATCGTGTCCAAGGCGCGCACGATCGACGTCCTCGTGAACGGCATGGCCGGGCGGAGCGAGTCTTTGGTTCTGGTAGGGCAGTTGATCCCATCCCTTGTGTCACGTTCGCACGGGCCGTCGTCTGCCTTGATCTCACCGCTGATTCTTCTTACCTCGCGGCGCATGCAGATGTACGAGGAGCTGCACGTGATGTCGCCGGTCGTCCCGACGCGCGAGTTCTGCTTCCTCCGCTACTGCCGGCAGATCGAGCACGGGCTGTGGGCGATCGCGGACATCTCGGTGGACCTGCAGCAGCGCGACGCGAGGTTCGGCGCGCCGCCGTCGCGCTCGTGCCGGCTCCCATCGGGCTGCCTCATCGCCGATATGGCCGACGGCTCCTCTAAGGTACTGTAGTTAAAGTGCATTTTTTGCCTTGCCATTGCCAATTTGCCATTTCCATTCATGTGCGTTGCCGCTGCACGTGCGCGTAATATGGTACGGAGTCGTGGCTCGCGTGACATTTTCGTGAACGTGTATATTCATTCATTAGGTGACCTGGGTCGAGCACATGGAGATCGAGGACCGGGTTCCCATCCACCTGCTCTACCGCGACCTCATCCTCAGCGGCGCCGCGTTCGGGGCGCACCGGTGGCTCGCCGCACTGCAGAGGGCGTGCGAGCGTTGCGCGTGCCTCGCCACGGCCGGCATGCCGCACCGGGACATTGCAGCTGCAGGAGGTGTGTGTGTTTCTGATGAATTGGTCGGCATGCATATACTCGTACTATATGTACGTCGGTTGGCTTGGCCCTGCGAATCTCATCAAAAGCTACTAATTGCAGTGACGCCGGAAGGGAAGCGGAGCATGATGAAGCTGTCGCAGCGGATGGTGAGCAGCTTCTGCGCGAGCCTGAGCGCGTCGCAGCTCCACCGGTGGACGACGCTGTCGGGGCCCAACGACGTGGGCGTCCGCGTCGTGGTGCACCGCAGCACGGACCCGGGGCAGCCCAGCGGCGTGGTGCTCAGCGCGGCCACGTCGATCTGGCTGCCGGTCCCGTGCGACCGGGTGTTCGCCTTCGTCCGCGACGAGCACACGCGCTCCCAGGTCCGCCGCGACGCCACGTCGTCGAGGATTCTTCTTCTGATTGTTGTTCCATTCTGTCCGCACTCTGCAGGGGGGTCGGGTCGCATTCTAGCTAGCTAGCGTGCCACCACGCTCACGTCTCCTGCTCGTTTACTTTGCTTGCATTGCAGTGGGACGTGCTGTCGCACGGCAACCCGGTGCAGGAGGTGTCGCGCATCCCCAACGGCTCCCACCCTGGAAACTGCATCTCCTTGCTCAGAGTAAGCATCGCATTATATTCGCGCGTGCATCTGATCTGACTGAATTTGCTACTACTAGTAGTCTAGTACCGTGCACTAGTACGTACGTGTCAACGAATGGCTTCCGCGGATACACGTGTTTTATATATGTGGTGTTAGTTACTCCATTGACCACTAACGTGTCTGATGAGATGCCATGTGGCGGCAATGCACATGTGTTTGTAGGGCCTGAACGCGAGCCAGAACAGCATGCTGATCCTGCAGGAGAGCTGCACCGACGCGTCGGGCTCGCTGGTGGTCTACGCGCCTATCGACATCCCGGCGGCCAACGTGGTGATGAGTGGCGAGGACCCGTCCGCGATCCCGCTCCTGCCGTCTGGCTTCACCATCCTGCCCGACGGGCGGCCCGGCGCGTCGTCGTCGAGCGCTGCCGCCGGCCCGCTGGGCGCCCCGGCGGCGGCGGGGTCGCTGGTGACGGTGGCGTTCCAGATCCTGGTGAGCAGCCTGCCGTCGTCGAAGCTGAACGCCGAGTCGGTGGCGACGGTCAACAGCCTCATCAGCACCACTGTGGAGCAAATTAAGGCGGCCTTGAATTGCGCCAGCCATTGATGGAGCCCCGGCCCGGCCGATGGATCCATGGAATTGATGCGTGCGTGCATATGCATGCATGCTGCCGGGCTGCATGCACGCGTAGGTCTCCTCTCCTCGCCCCCGGCCGGCCGCCTGCCGCTTTCCTGCTGCCGGCTGCTGCGAGGAGTGAATTCCCTTCAAGGCGTTGGTTCGCGACGGAGTTCTTGGTTGGTTGGGGGGCTTCAATGCTGCCCATTCAAGGAGGCGGGGCTGCTGCCATGGTGTCGCCCGCTTGGGGTTCACCTGCCGCTGTTGCTGCGCCGTCCGATCACCCATGCATGATCATTATTCAGCTCTCTCTCTCTCTCTCTCTCTCTCTCTCCCCCTCAAACCTCTCTCTCTCTGCCACTCATGCATGCATGATAACTTTTCCTCTTGCTCTAGTAGGTGTCCCGTCCCTGTTACAGGATTTGAAGCTTGCTTGCTCTTGAGGCTTTGCATGAAACGGAGGAGTCAAGAACGCACCATGCTCGTCTCATTCCTCTTGCTGCCGTCACGCTTGGTTGTTTAATTATTAATTCCATTCCCTCTTTTTCTGTGTGTGTCTCTCTCCCCACCTCTCCATCCATAGTTTTTGCCACCCATTTGCAGTCTCCCATTCTGTAGTTTGTAGCAGTTTGCAGCAGAGGATGATGAATGGTTCGGGTATTGACTTCTGTCTAATGGTGTTAAGCCTTCAATGATCATTAATTCTCTATTTTTTTAGTAAAGATAATTAAGGCAAATATCACTGTCACTGCTTTGATTGTTCCTTTTCATTCTTTCCTCTCTCGCTCCCTGCTTCAGTTAAGGCCTTCAATATTATTTGGCTCGTGAAATCTGTCATGATTGCGGCTGTATAAGAGCTAGCCGGTTGTCGATTTGTGAACAGGCTTTTGTGATGTGTGCACTACTAGGCCACCTGCCAGCGGTCGTTACTCTGCTGGCTGGCTGGCTGGTGGTGTACACCTAACACCTCATCAGTCCACTGCATGCATGTAATGTAGGAGTATTATCGATCTGTCCGCGATGCGATGCAATGCAAAATGAGGGTGTACGTGATGTTCAGGGTGGAGAATTAAGAGGCTGCCTGCAGGGCGCAGGCTGTAAGTAGGGGCCGCCATTGAATTGAATCGCGACGTTGCGATGCATGCATATGCTCGCGTCGCCTCTTCCCCGGCCCTTGCAATTGCTCTCTATTAATACGGGTGGTTGCCATTCCCCTGCCAGAATTAAGCGAGTCTACAGCCTACAGCGGAGGGCGACGATGAGATGAGCCAGCCCGTATTAGTACTACTAGCTAGCTAGCGTTCCCCACAGCCACGCACCCCCGCACTTGTTGCAGCCCATCGATGCACTGGTTGCTTGCTGCACCCAGCACCTTGCAGGTAATTCGGACTGATCACTGTCCCGACTCCACGGCTCTCTACAAGGTACTCCGTAGAAGAAACTCACCGACTTCACAACTTTTGCGACAACTAGTCGCAAAAAAAAAAAATGCGACAACTAAAAAAGGACCTATCAGATCACGAGTGGCTCCCTCTGACGCGTCAATTGCTGCTGGGGCCCCGGCCTCTCCGTACGTGGAGCGCGTCGCTCTCGATCGGCTTCTTCATTCAGGCGGGCCATGCATGCACGCGCCTTGGGTTTATTTGCCAACATGTGTAAGCACGGCGATGCTCCGGTATTGAATGGCGCAATCAATTTGCCATGCTGTTGCGACAGCGTCGTCGATCGATCGAGCAGAGCGCCCTGGCTAATTTATCATTATCGATCCCACATTTTCGGCGTCCGGGAGCTGGAATCGTTGTTGGCTAGCTCGTCTTCATCAATGCCGGCAGGCCGGGAATGGCCTGTATGTGTGCGTGCGTGTTCTCCGTCCCAGGCACCCGCGGCTCATTCATTTTGCAACATGCGATGAGGGGCACGCACGCACCCGGCCCGTCGTCTCGCTCGTCTGTCGCCGTATTCTCCTGATCCTGCTCCGTCCGTGCTAGGTGCTGGTCTCCGTTGACGCCAAATGATGTTGTCGCCAAAATTCAGAAACGGATTCGTTTACACAAACGTGCCGATCACTCATAGGTCGCCATTGATGGCGACATATATAGCGTGGATGATGGATGGATCGTGATGCTGCCTGCACATAAAGTGGCGCCGCGCATTTTTGCCCGAGTAGCCCAAAGGCCCCAATCAGCTTGAACGAAAATGGAGTACCAAGCCCGGCCTTCTGCCCACACCTGGGTGGCACGCAGTTTATTACACACGAAAGCGACTTTTATTCAGAACCTGATCTGCAGGTGTCGTTTTGGATATTTTTCCAGACACTTCCACTTTTCTTTATTTATTTATCCTAGTGACGAGATGGGGACTTTAAAAAAAAAACAGGCGGCAAGACATTTGCTACAGTATCAGACGATATAAATAAAGAAACGAAGAAGCAAAAGTATAACTAGGTTAACAGGTATCCTCACAAACCCCAGCCCACCACCACTACACAACTATCAAAAAACCACAATGAACAACGCAAAAATACACCTAGAGAACCGATTGCACCACTAACCTACTCCCTTCGTTCCTTTTTAACTGTCATTTTCGCTCTCCGAGAAATAACTTTGACTAAATATATATATAATATTAATATTTATGGTACATAATTAATATTATTAGATAGATCGTCGAATCTATTTTTATAATAAATTTTTTGGAATTCAAATGTTACAAATATTTTCTATAAATCTAGTCAAACTTATTAGCACGCAAACCGTGACGACAGATAAGGGACAGAGGAAGTAGAACACATCCAGGCGCATCGCCATGTGGTACTGCCATATATCATCCTGGCAAAGAGATGCTACTTAACGAGGTTGCAACTTCTTTTGTCGGAAGGTTCTCCTATCTCTCTCTTTCCAATTATTCAACCATAAGTTAATAATGATTCCGTTGAATTTTTTCTTAAAACTTTGGATGACATTTGTGCCGATAGGAATAGATGGAACCTCCCGTACCAATTGTGTCGATAGTCATCAAACAAACCAACTACAAATAAAGGACGAGGTTGGCTTAGTAAAACAACAATTCTTGCATAGATGAGTCAGAGTTTCCAATTGGACGCCACAAAGCTAACATACCATGTCGTTCGACCCTCCTCGTTTGTTCAAATTGTTTTCCGTTAGAATCTTTCTGTGTAGAGGTGTCAAGCATCGTGTGTACACCTTCTTCAATTCCAGCACCAACATATGTTATTTTCCATTATCATATCATGATGTATTTCACTAATGCCCTCCAAAAATGCTACATACTTTATTATGCTCGGATGTGATAGTAAAGGGAAACATGTTCAATCAATTTGTTGTTCAATAGAGTTTTGTGTAATGTATTGTTCTTTCTTTTGGTCTTCTAGAATAGAGTCGGTGTAATGTTCTTAGCTGAATTATCGTTAACCCAACAAAAATAACTAGAAGAGTGTTGTTTTTCCATTCCCCACCTAAACTATTGTCAAAGCACTGAAGAGGCCCTGGTCTAATTTGTGACGGGGAACTTCCAACTTACTCTAGGCTCACCAATTTTGTTTCCATCAAAACCGCAAACACCTTAGCTTTAAAGCCCTTGTCAAAATGTTCAGGGTTTGTAATTCCAAGACTCTTTTTTAGACATGTTGTTGGTAAATTGATGAATGTCCTCCATAAACTTTATCAGGGTTTTGCCACACCGCAAGAAGATTTATCACAAACGATCGAAAAAACATTCCATGGTAGAAATTTTCTCTTGCATTCTGGCAATCATGTCCCCATTTTATCAAATAACGGCTAAATTCCACTCTCCTCTCTGGTGCGCAAAGGGAGGCCTAAATATTTTCTAAGGATTTTCCCTTTCTTTCCACGGAAGTTTTTGTGGCAGAACCGTCTAATCTAATGTCTCCCAGGAGTACTTGTCTTCCATTAGACACTAAGTACTCAAGAGAGGACACTAAACTACGCAGTTCCGTCGAGCACACCCCAAGGGAGAACTCGAAAATTCACATTTTTTCATCAGGATCATAAATGAGATAATAAAGCTTACAACATTCTGAAATCATTTCTTACATCACTTTATTACAGTAGTAGAATATTATCTCAATTGATTATAACCGCAGAATATAACAATGTTATTAGAGTTACAAAGGGAGCAAAGATTAATTTAATGACATGGTGGAGCATTAACATAGTGGACATTCTTATACAAGGGATGCTAGCAGATTTTACATCTTTTCTTATAAAAACCTTTAGTGAGGGTTATAAATAATCACTACGGTCGTAGCGTAAAAGGAATCCTCTCTGAGCCCACCAGGAGGTTTCCACACACAAGAGTCACCTTTAAGTATCCTCCGATCACCTGCAACAAGGGAAATAAAACCCTAAGTACTCAATTGTACTCAGCAAGACTTACTCGACGGGAGAAAAATAAAGACTCCAAGGTTATGCGATGCTTATTTGGCTTGTAGGTTATTGCATCTGCAGAAGCATTACTAAATGTGCGTCCTTATATTTAATTTTGTTAGCAGTCATCATCAATTCATTAACTAACCATTCTATGTAAGCTCCATGCTACTTTCAAGCAGATAGTAAGCAATCAGAACTATTGTATCACCTTTCAAGTTCTAGTTCTTAATACGGTGCTAGACCATAGCCAAGTCGTACCGTCTCACAAAAATAGTGATTCGCGAATCAATGTATTCCAGGTGGGTACCCCGAAACACATGCCCCGTTTGTACCCCAGGCACTAACAAGACTAACCCATTCCACTCCTACCACGGGATCCAGGTCCCCATTCAAACTTGGACTCCAAGGCCCCACCCTTGAGACCCGGTCTCATTATGGTGCTTAGACCACTACATTTCCCCGCCTCCGATCAGTCGGTTCGGAAAAGAGCCGGAACCCGCGATAAGAGCGTAACGAGCCTTCTCGCTCCCATAAGTAAGTATGTGCTCAGGATAATAAGTCTGTGACCGGACTACCATCCAC